CTGGCTGCCTGTCTCTTGTGGATCCGACCGGCATGTTGTCGTGGCATCTTCAATCGGCTTCTTTCGTCTCAGCCACAGCGTCGAATCCGCAGGTTGCATGAGCTTCAAGTGCTCCAATCGTCGACATTATCTTTCCGAGGTCGTCCTACCCAAAGTCTTTCGGATGTTCAGCTGCCTAGCGATGAGGAGGACGAAGAAGGTACCATGTAAAAGTGGAAGATAGGTGAGGAGGGAAAAAAACAAGATCAAGGACCTGAAGGATGCAGATGGAAAGAGCACGATCAATCTGATGCAGGACTTTCAACATTTATATTATTATTACTATTTTTTGAGTGTTGCCTTGGTTAAATTTTGGATATGGGGAAAGTTTTGTTAAAGAATGTGCCTTTAAAATAAAGATAAATCTAAGTTTGGGATTCTTGCTTACAAGAAAAGTCAAGTTAAAAAAGAGAAGACGAATAAAAGCATCTGAATTCGTGAAGCAGAGAGTGTGAAAGGTGAATTTAAATAACAAGACTAAGTATTTCTCAGGTAATCAGTCTTTTCATGCTTAACAATGGAAAAGGTCGAACATGAAGTTGGTCAAGAAAATAATATTATGAATGAGTGGTTCAACTAATTTTGGGAAGATCCTCATTTCATATGAAAGTGCATAATAAGTTAAATACAACTTTCAGGCTGACATAGATCACAAGAAATCCTCCCTTTGTTCGGGTGAAACCGGGCTGAGCTTTCGTTCATCACATGATGAGCCTCATCAGAGCTGGAACTCATTCTTCGAATAGTCTCAAGTTAACACGAGTTCAAGTAGACAGTCTGGCTTTATTTTTCATATGTAAGTAAAGTTTCGAGACTACCAATAAATCAGTATTATGATATGTATTCACCCTATTTCGTTTTAAATGATGAAAGACTGCTAGTAGAATTTTCCCACAATGATATGAGTAGAGCTGACATTTTCATTAAATTTCACATAGCCTTGCTTTCCAAAAAGTTGTTTTCATCCAGGCACCAGTGGACTGCAGTTTCGACCCCCAGCGGGAGTCGAACCGTCACAGTGCAGAATGGGAGCTATACACGTTAACCACTTGGCCACATTGCCACGAGTGCCCTTGGGTCACAGGACAGATGTAAATTTCAAGGAAGGCCATATCACATGCTTTTTTTGGTGGGATTTACTGTTAGTCTCGAAACGCTACTTACAAACGAAAAATGAGTAACGTAGTCGATTGTTATAGCAAATATACGTTTGCTTCATCAACAATCTCACCAAAAAAGAATGTGATATGGCAAAAGGCCTGGCCTTCCTTGAAATTCACATCTGCCCTGTGACTCAAGGGCACACATGGTAATGTGGTCGAGTGATACACGTGTAAAACTCCGATTCGGCACTGTCACGGTTCGACTCTCGCTTGGGGTGCTGTTAAGACCGATACGAGGTCGAAACTGCACTGGTGCCTGGATGAGAACAACTTTTGGGAAAGCAAGGCTATGTGAAATTCAGCTCTACTCATATCATTATAGGAAAATTCTACTACCGGTCCTTCATCACCTTAAACGAAATAGGGTTAATACATCTCATATGGCTCTATTTTGCCTCTTATGTTCACATAACTAAAGAACGAAAAGGTTTAGGCATAGAAAGATATAAAATGATTTAGCTAATTATCTTTCATAATGGTCATGGTACTTTTACGTGAGTGTATGTGTCTGAATCTGTGTGTTAACGTGTATACGCAATGCTGGTCCTAAACACGGGCGATTAATAAAAGCTTTATGCCAGGCTCGAGTCAACTAGGCTTAATGACCCAAGAATCAACCCCAACCGAGACGGTATAAGTTTGTGAGCATGTCTGGTTGAGATAATGAGATGCAAGCTTGTACCCGTGTGAGCCACGTTATGAAATCACCTCTCATAACCTATCCGTCTAGAGTCACTAAGGTTTAATGGCGGAAGAAAAAACATGACATGGAATTGGGTAGTCTCGTACGTGCGATTTAGTTTATGGGCTTAATCCACATATTGGACAAGTATCATTATAGTTAGAACCATCACTGAGCGGATAAGTTGAGTCGCATTCTTTTGTATGGCAACTCAACTCCTTACTCAACTTTTTACCGCCATTCTCCACAGTCCGCGTATTCCTTAATTTATTAATTCCTATAGACTCTTTTATCTTCCAGTTAAAATCAGACGTACACTAATCAGCAAACCTACGTGTTTAACATTTTTCTATTTAATCTCTAGTCTCTGACATGTGTTCGGCCACTATTGAACGTTGGACTCAGCTGTCTTGAAAAGCATTTTTGTAATATGAGATTTATTCACCCTATTTCGTTTAAGGTAATGA